CGAGAGACTGGTGTGCCCATCCTTACGCAGCCGTGTTGGGGGTTATCTTAGGTCTAATTTATCAAGGTAATTTCAAGATGAGAACATGGCACTGTCAAACTGTCACATGTAGAGATTATAGAAGAACAAGAGTGGAGACAGAGGACAACCTCGGGTCACTGTCATCTTTAATTCAGATCCAATTCGACTTCAGTGGTCCCTATACGCACTCAGCACAAAGTCACTAATATATCTCTATCCTGGGCTAATTCATCATGCTTAAGGGCGGTGACAGAGCAAGTCTAATTTAATCTACTGGGAGAAATAAATACTCTGCTGGCCTGTAGATAAAAGGAATGGAACCTTTAACGAAACTGTACTTTGATAACGACCATTTTGACCATGTTAGCAAAAATATTCAGGAGTTGAGCTAAGCTATATAAGAGTTAGGGGTGTATTGATATCCAAGTCTCACAATACGATATCGTCACATTATGAAGCCCATGGTACGACATTTATTGCAATATCGTGGAAAATCTCAAGATATGGTGGGGAGACTCATGTTTAGGGATGACAATATCCAAATCTCTCAGCTAACAATATTTTCACAATATATATCTCATGGTATGATATTTACTGTGATATTTTGTGAAGGCTAAACAGCTAAAAATGTTAATATGCTTCCTCTTAAAAAGCCTTGACAAGACTTAATCCAACGAACTAAGACTTAAAGTGCTTAGAACTGTTATTTCTTCATGTAGTCTACACTGAAATGGAGCAAAGGATCATGGTCTATGTAGTTCCCTCTGTCATTTTTTACTTTAACAATACGATATCACAATATTTCGGTTATTGTTGCATCCCTAATAAGAGTATTGTGAATATCCCAGTTATTTGTATAAAAATAATGTAACAACTACAGTATTTGAAAATCAATATAACCTTTTAGCCATTTGAAGGTAATTTACAACACTTTGATTAATTAGTTATTCCTTTTATCTTATATGTGAATAAGAGTCTATAGCAAAGGTACAATTTTGTCCTATTTGTGTGATTTTTACAGCACTGATACTTCATTCATACTTTCTTAATATGAATGTCTATTTTTGATACTAGTTTTAGTCAATGAGTGCATCATCTGAGTTTTCGAAATTTTTGCTCTCCATCCTGGACACTCCTACTCACCCACTGCACCAGACTATAAAGGGACAGAGGAGCTCATTCTCCAACAGGCTCCTACAGCTACGCTCAAACAGTGAGAGATACAGGACTACATTCCTACCATACTCCATACAACTGTACAACAATTCACTTGTATGTAACAGATAACCCTATGTCCTGTAAATCAACATATCATTTTTGCACTGCACACTTTTTATATTTCTATATTTTATTTTTACTTGTACTTGTACATTTAGATAATTATGCCTTATTTGACACCAGTCTCTTGCTATTTCTGTTAGTTACTAAGAATTAATTATACAATTCATATTAGGGGAGACCGATATATATTGGCTGGCCTATATTATCAGCCGATATGGGCACTTGGAGACATATCGACATAAAATTTGCCGATATGGGCCGATAGTCCACGTGGGCATGTTATACAGACATTGTTATATGTCTGTGATGCCGTACTGTCCCTGAACACACCAGAAGAGCCACATCACTTGTGTGTTTGTTTACACACACAGCTACTGTCAACATGCTGGATTGTATTATATTTATGGACAATCATTTTGAGTCAGGATTGAAAGGACACTTATTTGGGAAAACTTGTGATCTGAGAGGAACCTGTATGAGCGGTGAGTCTGTATCGGTATCATATCGGCCGCAAAAAAAATCCATATCAGTCGGGCCCTAATTGATATGTTTCTCTTTGTTATTATAATATGCTGTGAGTTACTGTATCCAAATAATTTAAAAGTTTGTCTAAGCCTAAATCTAAGTTTTTAGGGTAACAAGTCAAACTGCAAAATATGCAGTAGCACAGAAAATATTGCATTCATTACTGTTGACAGCAGACTCAAATAAAGCAATTATATGTTGTCAATATACAGCCCAGAGCTACAAAATAGAGCCCACACTACAGTTAGTTAGCTGGCATCTGTTTTTCTCTGGTGGGTAAACACATTGTGAAGAGTTGGGATTATTTTGAGCAGGTCCCCGCTGAGTGCCACAAACATCAGTCAGCATCTTTAGCTCTTTGTCTGCAGAAAAGAAAGACTCACTCCCTTTTCCATGCAAAACAACTCCCCTGTTATATGCAGAATTACAGTGCAGGCCATTAGGAGTGCATATAATAGAGATAGCAACTGTTACTGGCAATAACAGCAAAATAACACAGACATTGTAAATAGAGTGCAATCAAATTTCAATCAACTTGAAATCCAAAGTTTTGAAAATGTCAGCAATATGGTACTTTTTACTTGAGATGCCAATGTTCTGTCAATAAATGCATGTGGTTCGTAAAAGGTGGAAAAAACAAGATGCTGTGTGCCAATTTAACTGGCTTTATAATATAACAGGATTAAGTAGAGGGACAAATTCAGAAATGTTAGCACAGCTGGAAGCAAGTTTTCAACCCTATTTGAAATTGATACTCATACATTTGCATACATATGAGTCTTTGCTAATAATAATAGTACAATTTGCATTTTTGTGTTATGTTTATTGACTTAAAGTATGCACAATAGTTCTAAATAGTTCCTTCTCATGAGACACTAGGACTACTCGTTGACTAGAAATACTTGACTGACTTCTTTCAAGAAGAACATTGACTAAAAGTGACTGTGGCTTATATTCCCCATAAAAATTTTGGATTAAAATTTGGTCTAAGAGAAAGTCTTAGACATGATCAATTGATTATTTGACTAAACTACTCAAAGAAAACAGCCTTTGAAGACAGTGAGCTGGATGTCTTTGTACGTTTATGAGCTTTAGGTCATGGTGTTCACATGTACATGAAGGGCAGGCTGAAAGCACCAGTCTCCCAGAGGAGGAGTTTATCTACAGATTCTCCCATGACCTGCTGTGATCTGGGCCCTTGAGCTCTAGCGGGGGCAGTGTGTGTGTGCTGTGTGCATGTGTGCTCCTACTTATAAGGCAGTCTCTGGGGATAGAACTATGCTTCCATCAGTACAACTAATGTGAGTGACAGCTTGTTTGGACACCCAGCCCACATGAACGCACATATACCTAATGCACCAAATCTGCTGAGAAATAACAAAGAGGGGGCTGAACTGGACCCTATGGTGCTCCCTGGCATGCTCTAGACGCTCTCTGCAAAGCACGGGTCAGCAGTGCAGGTCTCTTCTCTGCTTAGACATGTTGACAGACTGTCACAGCAACAAACTATAGTCTCTGACATGACATTGTATTCCTTCTGCCCACAAAAACATGTCTGTCACATTGCCCACATACTGAATGCTACTGTTGCACTTCAGTTTGATACAAAAACAAGCAATTAACAAAATTACTTACATGGCGTCAAAAACAACACATTAGTCACTTTAGTTGCGCAGTTATGATTTCTAAGGAAACAGATTCTCAATCAGTATCACTTAACTACAAATAGTAAAATTTTTTGTGCAAAATATTAGTCAACATTTTTTTTCCAAATACTTCATTGCTATAAAGTCAAGAGAAAAACTGGGCCAGTATTTGAACTTTTAAGATATCCGCCATCAATCTTAAAGCTTTAGCATATGTTAATATTGTTTCAGTGGGGCCAAACCAAGTCACACAGTGATAAAAGCCTATCTGTGTGTTAACCATTTTCCTCAACTTAATAAACCCATATGTCAGTCATGTTGCTTATTTGTCATACACCAGGCTTAAAATGGAGGAGCCCATAACTGAATCCCTGATGAGAGAAGTGCTGAGGCGGACTCCAGTGTGCACTGATGGAGAGAGGGGGCAGTAATGTGGTGCTGCCATGGAACGTGGTGCCCTGTCAGAGTGGCACTGCCTACCCGGAGGTTATTCTGTCACTCTGACATGGGCTCAATCTTTGGGAAATGAAAAATATAGCAACACTCACTCCCACATACACTGTTTTCGCCATCTTTCCATACTTTGCACTCACACACAGATAAACACAGCTGGTTTTAAAGAAAGGGTGCCAATGTAGAGGAGAAATGCAAACACAGTACTGTACAGTTGACACAGTTTTTTTAAACTGAAAATACATAAATAAATAATAGAAATATGTAATTATAACACCATGTCAACCTGATGCTTCATCATTGGCAGGAAGTCACTGTTCTGGTCATGAGTTGAGGGTTCATAGAGAAAGACTGGCAGCCCTACAGTGTATGTGCACACTGTAGTATATGCATGATGAATGAGCTGTCAGCTGTATTCACACAACTGTCACTGTGTGGGGCAACCCCATACTCTCAGATCTGTCTCATTACACACAGTCATCAGCATTAACAAGGAGCATCATGCTGGACCAATCAATTACTGCAAGGAGCAGGGTTAAAACACATTACACTGGAAATGCAAATGCCATGCATACTAATCAACTGGTACACGATTTTTAATGATCTATGTAATGATCTGAACTATTGAGTGAATACCAATCAACAAAAAATACCAAATCATATCAAATTATTTAACGAGTAGGCGTAGTTATACGCATGTGTAAAATGTCCATTATAGCTTTACTCCACATAAGGTCAAATATTAGAACATTATTGCCTGCTAGTCAAACATGAAATGTAAAGACCAGAAACAGAAACTTAAACCAAATCATGTTTTGCTCATTCCACGCTGAAGATTCTGACATTATACAGTAGCCTAATGATGTAATGGGGATGTGCCATTAACATATTGCCAGGGCAGCCTCCCCTCTCCCTGCTCAATGTGCTCGTTTCATCTTCAATACAAAGCGCTCGTCGCTTATTTACTCCAAACCACTACGCCACGCAAGTTGACAGTGACAGCACCTCACCCTAACCTTTACATCCGATCGCGCATACTCTCCACTTCCGAAAGAAAAACAAAGGAACACTTACCTCAGCACTCCGTGACAAGTCACTGTAGATATTAACCTGCGCTCGCAATAGAAATGCCAATCGCTAGAAGTTTGAACAAGGGTTCGAGCGTCGGAACTGTAGATCACTCACTGTCCGCGTCTGTTATGGTACCTGAGTGGGCTGCTCTACTGTGCGCGGGGTAGTACCGCCCCAAACACTATCTGATCTGCCTGATCCTCCGTCTGCTCATTAACAGTTGTTAAACACATCCTGGAACTGTCCAAGTCGACTGTGCGTAACGGCGCGCTCGCTCCCGCTCCTTCTCCCCTAAACACTCCCCAAAGACATGTGACCAGCCCACGGCAGACGGGAATAGCTCTTTCCCCAAGGCAACAGCTGGGATCGCTTACACTGCTCCAGTGCCAGTGGAACAAATCATGTGCTCCACCAACTGCTCGCCATCACCCCGGCCTCACGGTGTCGCTGTCACTGGGGTAGGCTCATATACACCTGTCAAATCTGAGCATTGGTGGTATGGTTGTATTGGTCCAATTAACGAACTTGTTTGGTTGCTACACATGCTATAGGATATGATTAGCTCACTGATGTTGCTAACATCACGGTTTTTATTAATTAGCTGGACTTTCAGTTAATCAACCCTTGAATTGTGCACATGGAGCTTCTACTGTAATTAGGAAATTCACCAAAACTTGTGTTAATGAAGGTTCTCCCTGTTTGAATTTATACATGTACAATTTGTTACTCCCAGTGTCATACAGACCTAAGAATAACATTTAGAGTTTCAAACCAAACAGACCAAAATAATGTGCAATTCAAGGTTTAAAAAGGAAATGGCTACACTTTGTAATGGTTGCTATAACCATAATGCTGGAAGAAAAAAAAAAAAAAACACATTCTGTTTGTTGGTCAACCTGAGACATGGAGAGAGAAAATAATTATTGAAGAAGCATGTTGTCAGCTCCTGAGGATGTCAGCGTGGGCAGCCTGCTAAAACTATGGAAACAGACCTAAACACTGTTAAAAGTCCAACAGATGTGCAATGTGCTATGGTGGTGTTGTGTTAGCTTAAACCAGCAATCTCTTGATTAGTGCTCGGGTGACAAGCAGTGCATTCAATAGAAAAGGAGACAACTTGAAGGTAAAGCGCTAGGTGGTCTTTGCCTGTCTGCCTGCACCTGCTCCCTCCCACATGAACACACCAGGCACGTCTCTAACACACATCACGAAGGATTGGATTTTGTACAACAGGGAATGTGGCATATTTAGTACTAATCATGATTTCCCCAACATGCCGCATAGAATTCAAATGACTTAATCAATGTCACCCATAAATGAGCTTTCTCCACTGGGGTCGATATAGACACTAGGATAGTACACCATGTTACCTGCTTCACAGAAATTGTGCCTCATTTAGAAAATCTGCTTAAAGTGCTATGTCAAATTTAAGAGGGATTTATAAATTGTTAATGAAAAGAGGGGTAACTGAAACTATGGAGGAATAATTTATGAGAGCGGGTGCGCTCAACACAGTGGTAGATTCGAAATTCAGTTTAAGGAGTTTAGGGGAAGCATATGGACACTGTTGGAGACTTCTGTTCGTCTGAAGAACTTTAGCAACAAAAACTTATAGAGGTGAACAAAAACAAAACAACAACTGTGACTTCCCTATACTCTTTCTAAATCATGATGTGAGCTTTGAAACTTGAATTCAAGAATACTCTAAAATAGGCCAAGGCATATGGATGTGTGTCTGTACACTTATTGAACTGTAAGAGAAATGGGCAATGAGGAGGAGATAAAAGAAAAAAAAGCTGATAAAATCATTCTGTGTATTACTGTTTTCAAAACCTGTTTATGAAATTAAGATTTTTTTTTTTAATTACTAACTTTCTGTTTCATGAGACTTTTAATTCTCTTCTACCTCAGAATTAATTTTGCTTCCCACTATTGTTGCTACCCTCTTAACCTAGAGCACCATTGTCTGTCACCACTCTTTCACACTAAGGGAAAGTGGAATGGATGTGTCTCACACGAACATATGTGACATATGAGAGCAGTGCTAGTGCAGGTACAGTCAGAGCTTTGGGCCAATGTTGGGGATTTAAGAAATAAAACAATGATCATGTTAAGAACACATATATTCAAGATGGTCTTTTTGGCCTACTTTTTGGACCCTGTTTTGAGATTTTCATATAATAATACAATACACACCACCACAAGGCAAGTGAAAAAGTGTGAATGTGAATTGAATGAATGTATAATAGAATTGCCTGTCAAAGCGTCAGCCTTGTAACTAACTAGCCATTGTGCATATGCTGTTTTAAGGCCCACACAGTTGGCCACCTACAATGTACAAACTATAAAGCTACAGACAATCAATCACATGCTCCAGTAGTTTTAATAGCCTCATGTTGAGTTGCTATCACTATGCCAATTCTGTATCACTATATTCTTATTATGCAATTTAATGTAATGTATGGCCCAGTAACTGCAGATATAACTGAGGAATAGTTTGTGTAAGCTGCCTCTAAAATGAGGATGTTGGTGCTGTGATAATGTACAAACCAGTATATAGCTTTTCATTCCCTGCTCTTTGTCCACTGCTTCAGTCTGGATACATGGTAGTGATGACTGGCTCCACTGAGTGTTAGGGAAGGGCTGGGGGTGTGGTCACATCATGTCAGTGTCCTCGTATCCTCATAGCATCTGCAATGCTGTCTGCCCAGGAAACATGGGCAAAGATCTGGAGGGCTGAGATATTCTAGGGGTCCTCTCTGCCCAAGAGGAGTCTACATGTGGTGCAGCCAACCTGAAATTGAATCAGGATGGATTAAATGGGTTTAAAAGCTTTGGCCCTGTGAGTGATCGAATCAGATAGGGATGTAAATGCCAGGAAGCAGTGACAGGCAGAAGACCCACCACAGAGAGAGACTTATGAGAGAGATAAATGGGAGCAAGCATGCACTACAATAACACAGTTTTTAGAAATGATTGTGCGTCTTGGAGTATTATCCTTAAATCTCGTGTCAGTATGATAGAGTGGGGCTGGGCAATAATAAAACTCATTGATAATTTAGGTATTTAATAACCCAATTTTTGAAAAATAGCATGAAAATCAAGGATTATTATGAAGCAAGTTTACTCCTGATTTGTTTATTGCAAAGCAGGGTTAATATGCAATTACAATTAGATATCTATACAAATGTAACTGAAGGAAAAGGAAAATAATAACTATAATAAGAATGCAAGTGAAAATAAGAATGAGCTTCCACCTTTTGAAAGACAAGCAGTCCCTACTCTGACTTCCATTTGAATTGATTAAAATAGTAATAGTCAGAGATTTATTTTTTAGCCATATTGCCCAGCCCTACGATAAAGGTTTATGTTAAATATGTTTTCCATCACTACAATTCAATTGAGATTTTAGATGCAAACGTGACTCTCTGAGTATTTGACCCTTGGTTCTTCAATATTGCTGTCACAAACTTGCCAGTAAACTACTAAACAGAGAAAGTAGAATGTGATTAAATTACATTTGGTAGATTAGATGTTGTTCAGTCCAGTGGAAGTATGGCTGTGGTTTGTGACCGAATAGACTAAAGGAAAAGCAATATCAGTATAGCTCACATTAATGTTTTATTTTCACCATGCAGTTTATTTGGAAGAGAATTGTTATCTTTTCTTACTGATGTCAGCCATACCATCTTAATTCTTAAATATAATAATTTATTGTTGGTAAGTATGTTGACTTTTGGTTTTATCTCAGTGTTTAATAGAAGTGACCTCTTGAACACCTTGCAGTGCAGACAGAGGACAGGCTGGTAGAGCTGCTGTGTCTGGGACATGAGAGTGTCAGGTACAATGTGACAGTGCACATTACACTCAGCTCCCCTGAGTCTGCTGTTCTGTCTGTCAGCTGTTTATGTGGGCCCCTGAGTCCTCCACAGACTCTCTCTCAATGCTCAGTGTCAGCTCACTGCCACAACAAGGAACTAAACTGTCTCTTAGCAAACACTTGCACTTAGTTCTTAGCTCTAGTGAAAGATGGGGCCACAGCTGACCTGGGCCTGGCTGAAGTTTAATAACTGAACTGTAATGACCTGCTCCACCTGCTGCTGTTGATGTTTATTGAGGTCCCCATTACCATCTGCAGTGTAACACATCAGCTGCTTTTTAACTTTGCTTTTGTATTTTACATGCACAAGTTTCATTCATTTTTCATTCATTTTATGTGATAAAACTGAGCATCCCATGTGTCAAGTGAGAGGTGCATAAGCTTCTGTGATGCAGCCCCCCACAGCTCCAAGGGACCACCATGCTACAATTCTGGACTCACATCAAAGACTGGGATCACTTCTGATTCTCTACACAGTGTATGCCAACCACCTTCATCTTCACCATATGTACAACACCCAGACACATACTCATGAACACCATGTTTGCATTAAAACACATTAGTCTCAACTGGCCCTGCATTATATATCAGCTTTTGGACATCACTGAAAACCAAATATTTTTGCAGCTGCCCTTCACCATTTCAAGCATTGATTTATTCCCAAAGTCACATCAAACCGAGAACTTACACTAAATCATAGTTGGGCATCCATTACAGTTGTCTTGACCTTTGACCTAGGAAGTCTTTGAAACCTGTTCACCCTGTTGCACTAGCCTCCAGGGCTCCCGGGGGCCCCTGGCACTGTGGCATTCGAGGAAATCCACACCCCTGAGTCTGTAGCTAAAGTAAGCCTGAGTGCGAGCCAACCCTCACAAGGGGAAGACGAGACACCAACATGGTTTCACACTTAGACACTGCTGGAATTCGGTCAATAACGTTGGTTGTTCTGAGAAAATATAACATACTGTATGGTAAGTTCATGTTGAGTCATAATTCAAATCATGCATCCCGCGACTTCAGTGTAAATAGCCCTTGGGATAACATGCACATGACTTTAAATCAAATAGGAATAGATCAGAAAACATGTTCACATAGATTAACTACATTACATTAACAATGGCAAAAGATTTTATTAGTTTTTACCAAATACTGGTCTAATGGATAACTGAGAACATATATTTGTCAGATTTTGTTTATACAATTTTCAGAAACTAATCTCCATTTGAATCTATAAGCTACTTAGCAATGTAGCAAGGCTAGTGCCAAAAATATGTATTTTTTGGCAGTCGTTGGCCAAGAAAATAAATCTGGAGCTCTCCAAATCTGCAAATCCTCTTTGTGACTGGTCCAGAGTAGTCAGAGCTTCCCTGGTGAACTCCCAGCCTGAAATCTTCTTTGATAGAGGTAAGACATTATAAACTGTGCATCACAAATACTTTCTTTAGGCACACTCAAACGCCTCATCTCAATTATTCCCTCTCCCTGAGCTC